TGACTAGAGAATGAGGATTTCCAGGGCATTTCTTTTGTGTTAACTTTAGAAAAAATTGATTATTTAGTGAAAGAGAAATGGAGCAATAATTTGCTAGGGAAAGTTCATACAGGACAGTGGTTATTAGGAATGAATTTTATTTAACAGAAACAGGAAAATGTTTACTTTGTGACATTTGCCAGCACTTTCTTTGTGTGTTTTGTGTTGAATGACAAGAACTTCATTATCTTCCATCGTTATTAGTGCCATCAGAAGCAGTAACTGGCTTGCTTTTTTTTTTGAGAAGGAGTTTTGCTCTTGTTGCCCAGGTTGGAGTGCAATGGTGCAATCTCGGCTCACTGCAACTTCCGCCTCGTGGGTTCAAGCGATTCTCCTGCCTCAGCCTCCCAGGTAGCTGGGATTACAGGCATGCATTACCATGCGTGGCTAATTTTTTGTATTTAGTAGAGACAGGGTTTCACCATGTTGGTCAGGCTGGTGTCGAACTCCTGACGTCAGGGGATCCACCCACCTCAGCCTCCCAAAGTGCTGGTATTATAGGCGTGAGCCACCATGCCCGGCCAAGTAAGTGACTTTCTAATGAATAAATCATTTTCAAAGTTTCAAACCCACTGAAACTAACAAGATTCAGTGCCAAATTAATATAATTGCATGTTTTCCTTCTAAAGTTAAAGTGATCCTTATCTTCAAAGAAGACTTTCAAAAAGATATACTAGTACATCTAAGCAGACTAATACTTTAGAAAGAATATTACCAGTAATAAAAAGGACAGAATTATAGTTTGATGCATTAATTTTAATAACTTTTTTTATAGCTCTTGAGCCAAGATGAATAAAGTTAAACAGAAATATGGTTCTCATTTTGATTGTACTGAATTTATTATATGGCATGCTCTCCTCCCTTCAGATGCAGAGTCAGGGCTTTTAGGTCCTTTTTGTTTAAAAGAGTATAGGTGATGCTAATATTATACAGCACTAGAATTAAAAATTATTTTCACTGAATATCCTTCAAAGCAATATAATAAAAAATGCAATAATTTGAATATTGCAGTTGAGGCAGTAGTCACTTTAGTTATAAGTGGTGCTCTGACTTTTTAAAAATAGCAAATTGTTAGCCATGATCTAATTCTGTTTTATGAATTCGTTGCTTGTAAGAACTGTACTTGTTTCTTGACTTATAGTTATTATAAAATTGATAATTTGATTATTTTTTACTTTATTTTTAAATTTTTAAAAATGTTTAGTGGAGATGGGGTCTTGCTGTGTTGCCCAGGCTGGTCTTAAACTTCTAGGCTCAAACAATCCTCCTGCGTTGGCCTCTCAAAGTGCTGGGATTACAGCTATAGCCACCACACTTGACTGATAATTTGGTTCTTTAATTGACTTTTTTCCTTTATAATAGCCCTTTTGTTGTGGTAGCATGCTGTAGATTTGGGGTTTTAAAATTTCAATTTAACTTAATTTTTATTTTTTGTAGAGACGAGTCTCACTATATTGCCCAGGCTGGTCTCAAACTCCTGGGCTCAAGTGATTCTCCTGCTTTGGCCTCCCAAAGTGCTGGATTTATAGGTTATAGGTGTGAGCCAATGCACCTGGCCCAATTTGGGGTTTTGCATTTTAGAAATATATGTTATAAACAGATTCTGACAATACAGTTTGTTTTTGCTGATGTGCTTGCCTAGAAAGTCTTGTTTGCTCTTGTGTAGGTTATCAGTGAAATCGTCTGCTTTTAAAATGTTTGTATTCTTTGTCCCAATTCCATGTGCCACTTGGTGTACTATTTAGTTTTTACACTGCCTTTCACCCTCCCCAGAGGCAAATTGTCCATGAAGCTTAAACCAAAGAGACCCTCACTTAAATGGCCCCCTTGACATTTTGTATGCAAATTTTGTAGTCCTTTTCTTTTTTTTTTTTTTTTTTTTTTGAGACAGAGTCTCGCTTAGTCGCCCAGGCTGGAGTGCAATGGCGCGATCTCGGCTCACTGCAAGCTCTGCCTCCCGGGTTCACGCCATTCTCCTGCCTCAGCCTCCCGAGTAGCTGGGACTACAGGCGCCCGCCGCCTCGCCCGGCTAATTTTTTGCATTTTTAGTAGAGACGGGGTTTCACCGTGTTAGCCAGGATGGTCTCGATCTCCTGACCTCGTGATCCGCCCGCCTCGGCCTCCCAAAGTGCTGGGATTACAGGCGTGAGCCACTGCGCCCGGCCTGTAGTCCTTTTCTTAAAGAAGGCCCCCCAACTTGTATAAACAACAGATCTACAAAACCTTCCTTTTCTAAAGTAGAGGACTGCTAGGAGGAAATGAGAAACAAAAGTAAATGTGGATTTTTAGTTTTGTGGTTTAGGTAAAAGGGATATAAATAGAATATTGAATGGGTTTGTGTGTGATGTCAGATTTAATTTATCGTGATAACCATCAGTGGTACACCAGATGTTTTGACTGTATTTAGCTTCATATTAAATTAAGCATAGCCAGTGGCCTACAAAGTCCATCTGTACTGCTGCCAAAGGTAGCACTGAAGACAGCCAGCTGCCTTTCATGTCTGTTACCACTGCTAGCTGCTGTTTCCCTCTTGCTATGATATTTAAGCTTTGGCATTGCTCATGCACAGGTGAGCCTTTGTATTGAAGTGGAATTTGTATTCTGAAAATTGACTGTACTGAATGGCGATGCTTGCCTTTCAGTAGATAGTCTATTCTTATTTTTGCTTACCTGTAAACCAGTGGAAATAAATCAAATACATAAGATTAGTTAGGGGTTTATTGAGGCTTGAATTCTAGAGAGAGGGGAATTATTGTATTATGCACAAGTGCCAGTTAAACATGTACCAATCTGAAGAAGATTTTTCTATACCTGCTACTAATCATGGAAAACAATTAACTTACTGATTTTTGTTATATAAATACATATTAAGAGCTGAAAATCTCAGCAGTTAGTTTTATTTATAATCAGAAAGACAGATGTTAACAATCACCAAAACCTTTATGTTTTAAATGAACGCACCTTCACTTTTACTTGACTTCTACTTCATCAGCATAATTGGAGAACCATAGATTCTTTCCCCATGAGTGAGGGCAAAACATACATCTGCAGTGTTCTTAGCGTGAGGATCATTAAGATGGCAGACCTTGTAGATCAAACAATTTCCTCCCATGCACCCTCATTCTTTCCTAGAAAAGCATTTAGACAGCTCTGAAATTAGACCTGGAAAGCATGTGCTAAGGCAAGAACAAATATCTTGAAAATTTTATCATAATGTTGCTTTTTAAAGTCCTAAATGTCCTCTAAAATGAAATTCTTTTGTATTAACCTTCTTTCATATGCTGGCTTTCACCAGACTGCAGAATTGCCTGATTTGACTTTCTAATGTAACTGTAATGAATCTTCTGGGAAGCTGAAACGATTGAACACACATACTTCACAACTCCATTGTAAAATATTCACTCAGTACTGTCGATGTTGCTGATTAAAAAAGAAAAAAAAAAAAGGAATTGGGAGTGGAAGAGAAAAATGAAACACTCCCGAACACATATTAGGGCTTAAAACCAAACATATTCTCTCAGGGATTTCAACCTTTACGAGACATCATGATGTGCAATAATACCTTGATTAAATATATTCAGCAACTCCTTAATAAAAACATCAAGTTTGGTGAAGGTAGGGTCTGCTTTGTAAAGCCACAATTAGGGGTATATGATTATGTTCAGTTTTGACATATTTATTCTGAAAAAGCATGGAAAAAAACTGGCCCATTTGCACAGACAAATTGCCCTGTGCATTATGCATGAGGACCCAGTGGAGTTAAAGATTTGCCAGCCTTTGAATATGGGACCTACATACAGTGGAGCCCAAATTTTTAATGCTGGGTCTTTCAAATGTGTGTCCCTTACATACTTTGGGTCTTATTTCGCAGCCAGAGAATCAAGAGGTATGCTTTTTCATGGTATAAGTAATTTATCCCAGGTATTTATAAGTGTAGCATTATGTGTTTGGCTTATTTATTTGAAAGAAATTGAACACCAGAATTTAATAATTAAGGATTTATTAGTTAAAACTGAGTGTTATAATGAGCCAGATGCTGCTGCATTGAAACAGCCATTTTCATTAGCATTTTTAAATAGAACAGAATTGAATTTAAATTTGTAGTGTCTTGACTTTGATGAGTTGACATTTTAAAATCTTTTAAAATCTATCAAATAGAAGGCAAACTTCTTTTAATTTCAATGAAAGACAACACTCACACTGAAATATCAAAATAGGTAAGTGAATAAAAACCTACCTTAAATATCTGAATTTCTTGTTTTGAATACTATAAAATAACATTAACTTAAAATGCTTGTGAAAAGAAATGACTATAAAAATGTGTGGAATATAAAAAATTAATTTTACCTATGACTGAAAAAGGTATGGATCACTCAAATGGAAGAGTCATTGGTGAATAAGAATGGGGAAGTGTGTTTATATTGTTTATTCCCTCCTTTTATCGCAGGGAAGCATTTTTAATAATAGCTTGGGTGGTTTGATGAAACATCCGAAGGAAACTCCCAGGAGAGGAAGATTATACTGGAGAGAGATCTCTCTATGAATCATTTACGCTAACCTCTTGCTGAAGCACAGCTTGCATTTTTAATGAAGGATGATTGCATTTCATAAACAGACCTTTAAAAATTAAAATAATATTGATCCTTCCTCATTTAGGCCTATTAAAATAACATGCTATACATTTCTTTCTAATAGCTCAGGACAGATTCTTATTATTGTTTTAAAACAACACACAATTTAATAATGTCTAATCAAAAGTTTCTTTAAATAGGACTTTGATTAAAATATTTCTGGAAAATTTTTCTTCGTAATGTAATATCTATGAAAAAAAAATTTAAAAATTATGAAATGGTTTAAAGTTTGGCACTCCAAATTATTTCCAACACAAACTATCTCTGGTAAGTTTCCTTTAATTTCTTTTGATCATAACAGTTTCTTACAAAGGCAATAGCTTCATTTCTTGAAACATCTACTGTAGCATAAGGAAAAAGAGACTCACAAGGTTTTAAGAAACCTTGCTTTTACAAACTACAGCCTTATGCTGAGTACAAGTTACATTATCTCTCACTTTGTTAGTGTTCTTACTTTTAAAATATGTCCCTCAATGAGATAAAGATTAAGATGAAACTTGAACTTTTCTGAATTATTACTTTACTGTTTATCATTTTCAGAAGCTCTTCTCTGAACCCGAATTTCTCTTGTAAGGATTATAGGAATAATGTAGTTTAATGCCTTCCGTATCTCTTATAACTACTAGATGATACTGGGAGTATTTTTTTTCTTTTTTTAAATGAAAATGTTCCTAAGCTATGCTTTAGTACAAGAATATGAAACTGCAAAGGAAGTGTTTCTTTTATGCCGAAGGATTAGAAATAAAAAGCAAAGTCAAAATTCATCATCGTATGACCGCCTTCTGGGTGATAGTCAATTTTTTTTTCTTTTTTCTTTTTTCCCCATTTGAAGAGTAGCAGTATGTAGTGTATAAGAACACAGACACGCAAGGCAAATCCTGTCCCTACTACTTCACTGGCAGGTTACTTAGCCTCTGTATCTTTTTGCTGTCTGTAAAATGGGGATAATAGTGGCCCTTGAATGGCTGTTGTGAAGGTTAAATGGGTTATTCTAGATTAGTGTCTGCCGTATACATTAAGAACTGTGTTAAGGTTTAACTATTATTATATTGAATTGATCTTTATTTTTTGCAATCTTAAAACAGTTATTTGGGGACAGTTCCCATACTACAGTCAAGTGCTGAAAATTCTGTTATGACTTCTTAGAATGAAATATTTTTCCATATTTACTTTATTGTTGTTGTTTCTTTAGTGCCTTGCATATGTAACTAGATGATAATGTTTTTTTTTTTTAAGTGAAAGGGATTCTGAACTAAAGATTTGGTATGAGAAAGAAGATAAAACTGCAAAGGAAGGGCTTCTCTGAGGAAGTCTGTGTGGAGTTAACACTGGGTCTCTATTTAGCTTCCTAGTTGCTATAGGAATAAGCACAGTATTTTGGACTTTTCAGAATAATAAGCCATGCATGTTCTGCGTGTTCTTTCACCTGTCAGTGCAGAGAGGATCATCGAGCAAAACTAACTGGGTAGCATAAGTTTGACTTTGGTATAGTTTAGGAACTCTGGAAGAAATGGAATTTTCTCCCTTCCACCCTCCTCTTAAATTCTTCCATCAGAGAGGTTTTCCCATAGGTGCCAGGTACTAAAAACATGTTTCCTATAAGAATATTGCCTTTGTTACCATAGATTGCTATTTATTTGGAGATATTAGACTCATAGGGTGTAGTAAGGAGCAAATGAGACACTAGATGCAAAGTACTTGGCATAATCCTTGGCATGTCCTAAGTGTTTTTTCCTGTAGAAGGGCTGGCAGAGGTACGGTTGGTGGATGTTTGTAAATGGGGGCTGCTTGAATGAGTATGTTTCAGAGTTACTGAGAGATTGTCATGATGGGCAACAGAACACTACCTATTTTGGAAAGTGTGCTCAGATGTTTCAAGCACTTTGGAGCAGCTTATATTGTAGATACTCAAGGTTTTCTTCATTCCGCCTCGTGGAGAAGATAATTTGAAGGGCCACAGGAAGTTATTGGCTTCTTTGAAGCATTTGCCAATAGTATAGATCTCATGAATCAGATCCTCCATGCAGATGATGCCATATTTACCAAGAGATGGAACAATCAAAGCATTATCTGTCAAAGCAATTTGCTTATTGATTTTGCCATAACCACGCTTGTAGATTAGTTCCTTTACTGACTTCAGATTTGGGTTCCCCCATGTAATATACGATTCTGCAGTCCTCAGCGTGTTAACTGAAGCCTTGTTGAGCTTCACAAATGTTCCATTGAAGATTTGACAAAGGCAAAGAAGCTGCAACACCTTTCGGACCTCTGGGCTCACACCACTGATACCTCTGATTCTGATGACAAAGGCCAATTTGGGTTCTGCAGGTACATAGAAGTTGCCAGCTTTTCTTGGCATCCTTGCCATTCGAATTTCAGTTCTGTACATCTGCCTATATTCCTTGTGATAGTGCTTTGCTTTTTCATAGATAAGCTTCCTCCTTGCCTTTCAAAGCATGTTTTGGGCGAACTTCTTTCTTAGGCGCTTGATCTTCAGTTCTGTGAAATTCTTTTGCTTTTTCTTAAGGGTTTCTGGCACAGCAGGAACCACCTTCTTCTCTTCTATACGCTCCGTGTTTCCAGCCAGAAAAAGAGGCTCTGGTTTTTAAAAGACTACTGGGTTTGTGACGCTCACAGATGTTGAATGAGGCAGAATGGTTTCTACATGTAGCACTTTACCACCCAGGTCTTAGCCCTCATCTTCTGTTACCTTGACTATTGCAGCATTCATTTATTCAACACATTGACTACTGACTATGTGCCAGGCATGGTTCTAGAAGTAACAGCCTCCTAATTCCTCTCCAGTCTTCCACTTTCATCACTGTGTAATCTGTTCTTTTTTTTTTTTTTTTTTTGAGACAGAGTCTTGCTGTGTCGCCTAGGCTGGAGTACAGTGGCATAATGTTGGCCCACTGTAACCTCGGCCTCCTGTGTTCAAGCTATTCTCCTGCCTCAGCCTCCTGAGTTGCTGGTGTTGCAGGTGCCCACCACCACGCCTGGCTAATTTTTGTATTTTTAGTAGAGATGAGGTTTCGCTCTGTACAGGTGCCTGCCACCATGCCTGGTTAATTTTTGTAATTTTAGTAGAGATGAGGTTTCGCTGTGTTGGCCGGCTTGGTCTCAAACTCCTGATCTCAAGTTACCCACCTGCCTTGGCCTCCCAAAGTGCTGAGATTACCGGTGTGAGCCACTGCGCCTGACCTGTAGTTCATTCTTTACACAGAGTTGGAGGAGTGGGATTGCTTTTTCAGAAACGTAGATCACCTCATTCTCTTACTTAAAACCCTTCAGATTCTCATTCTGCTGAGAATAAAATACAGATTTTTTCTTCCTATGGCTGTGTGCCAGCATAACTGACACTTCTGAGTCTCTGATATAACTGTGACTACTCTCCACTTGCTCCCTTAGCGTCAATCACAGTGGCCTCCTGTCCTTTCTGTTGTTTTAGGAACTAACAAGCTAACTCTCACTGAGGTGTATTGCATTCATCATAATTGCCTCAATGTGGTTCCATCAGGTTTTTTCTTTGTTTGCTTCATTTTATAATTTAGATCTCATTTCAATATTATTCCTTAGGGAGGCTCTCCTTGGCTTCCAGTCTAAAGTAGCGCATTACTCTACATCACCTTATCCTTTTTTTTTTTTCCAGAGTAAAAAATTGTGTTATTTTGCTTTTTACTTATGTATTATTTGATGCCTTTCTTGTGAAATTATCTACAATTAAATTCCCAGTGGCAGGAATAATTCTCAGAATATAATAAACTCCCAAGAAATATTTTAAAAATGAATGAATAAGCTCACAGTGATCTCCTTCATATATCTCTATTGGAGTCTGCCATTATAGTGAAGTTGTTAGTATGAGGTGGTTAGGAGCGCTGGCACTGCTTACTAGATTGGGTGACCTTGGGCATGTTACTTAACTCCTCCAGCTCTTCAATTCCTTATCCAAAAATTGTGATAATAATAATAATTATACCCACTTCATGGAGTGGTTTTGATTATTAAAGGAACAGATAATTAAGTACTTGTAAAGCAAGTAAAACAGTACCTGGCTCACAGCTTACCGAAATCTTGATAAATGTTAGCCATTATTATTACCATCATCGCTGTCCCCCATGCCTATGAAATGCCAGAATAGAGACCTACTTACTTAATTAGATCCTCTTTTTAAAATATGTATCTTCTGATACCTCATTATGAAACAAGACCTATTTGGGCCTTTTAGGAATGGAAGTTTTGATTGGATAAGAAAAGAAAGGAGTAATATAGGAAGGTGGGACTAAGTCTGATGAGGTCCTTGAAATGCTTAAAGTCCACACCTTTGGGGTTGGGAAGAAAGACAAAAGGAGAAATTGACCAATCACCAGGTTTTTCATACTTGCCAATGTTAATGAGAATGTTGAAGTTGGGATGCTGCCAAAAATTGCTTGGTAAGTTGCTCGTCCTGGAATTAATGCATGCATACTGATGAAGAAAGCTCTTGACACTTGTGGTTCTGTTCCCATAATCTGTAGGGTTCCTAACCATATACTTGGGTTGGAGCACAAAGCTTGTGTTTGGAACTGAAGAGAGTATCTGATGGTAGCATGGAGAATGGATGGAAGGGGAGGGCTGTACAAGATAAAGCAACATAACCTGTGGGACTATTGTGGTAACTGAGTTTAGAGATGGGGAAGCTCTGAACTAAGATAGTGATGGTGTGAGAGTGAATGAGAGAGGGTATCTGGCGTGGGGCTGAGAGAAGAGTCTAAGATAATTCCCAGGTTTCTGACTTAAGTGACTGTGGATGAGTTAGAATCCCACGTTTGAGTCTCAGCTCCACTATTTACCAGCATAATAATTTTTGGCAAGTTACTTCATTTTTCTAAGCTTAGTTTCATTACCTGTAAAATGGTAGAGGTAAATAAGGGTGTTTCTCTCTCAGAATTGTCTTGAACTTTAGATGAAATTATGTGTAGTTGTATTTAACTACTTAAGTAATATAGAAAGTTATGGCCGGGAGTGGTGGCTCACGCTTGTAATCCCAGCAGTTGGGGAGGTTGAGGTGGGCGGATCACTTGAGGTCAGGAGTTTGAGACCAGCCTAGCCAACATGGTGAAACCCCATCTCTACTAAAATAAATACAAAAATTAACTGGGTGTGGTGGCATACACCTGTAATCCTAGCTACTCGGGAGGCTGAGGCAGGAGAATTGCTTGAAACCGGGAGGTGGAGTTCTCGGCAGTGAGCTGACATTGTGCCATTGCACTCCAGCCTGGGCGACACAGCGAAGCTCTGTCTCAGATATACCTCCTCTCTTATCTTTAGTAACAACTAGGACAGGAAATAACATCAATGAGATAAACAGATAAGAGAGTAAGGGAGGATTAGGTTTTGGGGGTAAAATGTATATGGGATATTTAGAGAATTCCAGTTCGCTGCATATGGGTTTAAGTTTAAGAAGATAGTTCTGTAACTAGATAAGGTAATAATTAGAGTGTCTTAAATATAGTAGATACTCAGTAAATCAAGTATGAATATCATGTGTTGATTTATCTGTCTTTCCAAAGTTGTAGTTGGTAGCAAAAAAAAAAATCAGGATGTTTAAAAAAAATCGGATAAAACCTTTGAGCCTTCATCACTTCTGGCCTGGTTACCCTAGCAGGTTCTTTTTTTCTTTTTTTTTTTTTGGGAGAAAGTCTCGCTCTGTCGCCCAGGCAGGAGTGCAGTGGCGTCATCTCGGCTCACTGCAAGCTCCGCCTTCTGGGTTCACACCATTCTCCTGCCTCAGCCTCCTGAGTAGCTGGGACTACAGGCGCCCGCCACCATGCCTGGCTAATTTTTTGTATTTTTAGTAGAGATGGAGTTTCACCAAGTGTTAGCCAGAATGGTCTGTATCTCCTGACCTCACAGTCCGCTTGCCTGTGCCTTCCAAAGTGCTGGGATTACAGGCGTGAGCCACTGCGCCTGCTCCCTAGCAGGTTCTTAACGGGTCTTGTTCTCCCTGCCCACCTCCCACTTCCACACCCACCCCCATGCCAGTTGTTTTCACAACACAGCAAGCCTAAAGATCCTTTTAAAAGTTAAGTCAGGGCTGGGCGCGGTGGCTCATGCCTGTAATCCTAGCACTTTGGCAGGCTGAGGCAGGCGGAGGTGGATCGCGAGGTCAGGAGATTGAGACCATCCTGGCTAACACTGTGAAACCCCGTCTCTACTACAAATACAAAAAATTAGCCGGGTGTGGTGGTGGGCGCCTGTAGTCCCAGCTACTTGGGAGGCTGAGGCAGGAGAATGGCATGAACCCGGGAGGCGGAGCTTGCAGTGAGCCGAGATTGTGCCACTGCACTCCAGCCTGGGCAACAGAGTGAGACTCCATCTCAATAAAACAAAAAACAAAAAAGAAAGTTAAGTCAGATCCTGTCCCTCTTCTGCTTGGGACTTTGCAGTGGCTTGACCTTTCACAATGCCATCTTGGGGGTGTCTGTCTCTGTCTCTTTCTCTGTCTTTCTCTCTCCTGCTCCCTCTGTCTCTCTCTCGCTTCCCCTCATCTCCCTTCTCTCCTCCTCCCTCCCGTCTGCCCTCCTTCTCTCTCCCACCCTCCCCACCACCCCTCCCCTGTCTGCCCTCCTTCTTTCTCACTGCCCCCCGACCCCGATACACACCCCTACACTTGCTTGCTGCAGCCACACAGGCCTTCTTGCTGTTTCTCTTATCTGCCAGGTGTCCTCTTGTAGCTGTTAATTCGGCCCTGAGTACAATTAATTATAATGTAAGTCAGACCGCAATCACGACTTGTATGTCAGTATAGTCTCTGACTTACGATGCTTTGACTTAGAATTTTTTAACTTTATGATGGTGCAAAAATGATACACAGTCAATAGAAACCATACTTTGAGTACCATATAACCATTTCGTGTTTTACTTTCCGTATTCAATAAGTTACATGAGATACTCAAGTTTATTATAAAATAGGCTTTGTATTAGATGATTTTGCCCAATTGTAGATTAATGTAAGTGTTGCGAGCAAATATCATGCAGGGTAGGCCAAGCTGTGATGTTTGGTAAAGTAAGTGTATTAAATTATTAAATGCATTTTCTTTTCTTTTTTTTTTTTTTTGAGACGGAGTCTGGCTCTGTCACCCAGGCTGGAGTGCAGTGGCCGGATCTCGGCTCGCTGCAAGCTCCGCCTCCCGAGTTTACGCCATTCTCCTGCCTCAGCCTCCCGAGTAGCTGGGACTACAGGCGCCCGCCACCTCGCCCAGCTAGTTTTTTTTTGTATTTTTTAGTAGAGACGGGGTTTCACTGTGTTAGCCAGGATGGTCTCGATCTCCTGACCTTGTGATCCGCCCGTCTCGGCATCCCAAAGTGCTGGGATTACAGGCTTGAGCCACCGCGCCCGGCCTCATTTTCAACTTAGAGTATTTTCAGCTTTTTCAGTGGGTTTATCAGACTTTCCTCATGTTACAGCGAAGATGGCTGTCTGTAGCTCTAGGCCTCATCCCTGTTGCTAGCGGATCCAGCAAAAAGAGATCCTTTTTTTTTTCCTTCTTCTTCTTCTGGTGGTTCTAGCAGAAGTTATGGGGAGGGTTCTCAGTGGTTCTTCCTGAGACAC